AATAAGGAGCCCCTCCCCACGCCCCTCTGAGAGAGATTTGGTTACAAAGAACTCAATGGTGCTCAAGGAGGAGATTCAGGTGATAAGGGGGGGTACCTTGATTGCTGATTGGCTAACGGTTACACAAGACAAAACATCGTTATGACATCATAAAGTGGCCAAAATCTGATCAGCTCATTTTCAGACAGGTTTTTATAGAAATGGATCAAAAAGAGAGAGAATCTTTGTTCCTGAAACTTTCAGTCTCTTTCCNATGTGCAAAACAGAAAAACAAATTAACCTTTATTTAAACATTAAATAATACTTTAGATTAAGGTCTTCTTTTAAATAAGAAAAAAGCTTTGGGGGTATCTACAGATAAATATTAAGCCTGACAAAGTACTTAACATCTAATATATTGCTTTCCTGCAATGTTAACTATGTTGAAGCACTTATTTTAACTGATATCATACATATGAATTATACTCTTATGTATGTAGATAGTATAAGAAATGTGCAGAATGACAGTTTAATGGTGGTGGTACCATGGTGGTACACACATATTGATAGATGTCTTGTAATGCGCTGTTGAGGAACCTGCTGTGACCCAAGATTTTCATTCATTGCATAACTACACCGTAGTTGTGCATATGATATGTCAATAAACCTTTAAAATCTTGAAATCTTGAAAGGGATGTGCAAAATAGCAATTATACAGTCTTTAATTAACTATGAGTAGAAAATAACGATTAATGAATATACTTTATAGAGATCTGCTAAATGTTTAGTCTTCTCAAGCAGCAACTATCAAATATCTCTCCTGATTGTTGGCACTTGACAATCACCTTTCCCTGAATTTCACTCAGGTGTAACTAAAGTCTGATTTAAGGGTTGTTTATATTTCACGTCATTAATCAGAAAAGTAACTAAAATAAATGTAGTGGAGTAAAAATACCAGGTTAACCTCTGAATTGTAGTGGAGTAGAATTACAAAGTAACAATGAGCTGTCATGTGGGTATATATTAATGCTGCCCATTATGGACACAAGCGGCCTACGTCTGTTTCCGGTTATTTTTATTTTGAAATTCAGTTCCTGACGGACGCCAAAAAAGCCAGAGATTATGGAATTAAACCAATAAATAAAAGCAAGGATAATTGTGTGTTATTGGTGAGTAAATAAAAGTGTGTTATTTTGAAAAGAATAACAAATTAGAAGGAAAAAAAGATTTAAAAAATACAGATTTCAGTGTTCTGAGGCTCTGAGCCCCATTTATTTCCCTCACAGACGGAAACAAAAGTCCGAAATTATACGATTTAAAATAAAAGCAATAATTGTGGCTTGATATTGAGTTAGAACATGTTTTTATGAACCACACAGCTTCCGGTCTTCCACGACCCGACCGGAGAAAAAGACGTGCTGCAGGCACGAAACACATTACCAGTAGAAATACATTGCTTTTAAATTTTTTCTATGCAACACGAAAAAAAGGGGCAAATCGTGTTGATGAACACCAAATGCCATGAGACTGGGTTGCCACGTTCAGCTTTTACATGACCCAATCCTTCAGATTCTGTCGAATCAGATTCATCCTCATCTTCGACATCTACATAGGCACCTCTCGGGGTCACAACTGCATGCAAAAAGAGACATGCCTTTAATATTTTGTTTATTATACATGAAACACATATTCAAATAATTTCAGATGCTCTTTATGCTATTAGTGTTACAACATTTTTACAAATATGAACACGTTACTCCTGAAATGTCATTGTAACCAACAGCTTTTTGGAGTAAAAACTACATTTGACTGACAACTATTTCAATGATTCGTTATTTACGTATGAAGGCAAGTTAATCTTTTAAACTCCACAAAGTCACAGGAAAACAAGTTCTTTAATTTAAAAATCTCCAGATTGATAGACTTATTAATCTTATGTCTCCAATGAAATGCAATGTTCTTTGTTTGACTAAAGTCATAAATCAACTAACTGTTAATCCTAAATATAGTATATTTCTTCGAGTGAAGAATGCACTTATAGAGGATGTTGCGTACCTTCCATCCTCACGGTTTATTATTCTCTCTGAAAAAGAAAGAGGAAATGTTGGCAGCAGATTAGAGATAGTCTTTCTCTGTGGGAACCACCTCAACTGGAAACATAATGTTAGTCATGGAAATTAAAATATTATATTAGGTGAACAAATGTAGTATTCAGTTCTGAATTAGATGCAAACAGCAAACGTATAAATCACAAATTGGTTATATCATGAACTATAAATCCTAACATAAAGCATGTATACATGTTGTTTGCATAATAAACTTTACTAAATAGTCAGGTAATCGGTCCAAGCCGCGTCGTGGGTTATCTCTCTCGGAACCTTACCCTAGTCCAGTAATTACATCCTGCGTTACGGTACTTCCTCTCGTATATACATTGATTCCTGGTTATTTATTGTTTCCAAGACTCTCTGTTCCCTTCGGTCACGTTTTTTTTTTTACCCGTTTTTTCTTTTTCTTTTATAGCCTTTACTAACCGTCACATAAAAAAACCTTGCTTCACTCGTTAGTGCGACCCTTTCGCATAAACTTGTCGGAAACTTTTGGTCCTAATAACTTTACCAAACTATACTTCTCGTCCTCTTCGTCTCCGTATATGTATTGTTTGGCCTATCTTTCATTTCCGTTCTCTATTTAGGTAGAGTTAATAGACGAAACTATTCTTGGATGGGATTGCTCGAACGTTTCAATGGCTCTACCTTTTTTGCCATGCGCATGTACTCATAACTTACACTTAAGCGATTTTTTTTTCTTACGTATCTGACTTGCTGTTCAATGTTGTTCCATAAAATTACAACGGATATACACGTGACTTACTGTCCTTGGTCCACTCGACGATGATCCGCTACATGTCTGCGTAGTTCTAGTTCTGAGGTCAATGCTGACGTTTTTTCATTCTGAACTGTAGTGGAGTTTAATCTCTGTCTTGTACTACTTACTCCACATAATTGTGATATAGTGTAAACTGCCCAAACTTTTCTTGTATTAGACCTTATTGTAGTAGACCGATTTGTTACTTTTGGCTTGTCTGGTAGTTACAGTTAATTTCACCGGTTACCCTCGTACTGTCTCGTTTTTCTTCCCCCCGATTTTGCTTGGACCCTGTTCGACGTCCTATCCTACTCTTGCCGTGCCTCTTTTATCCTTCAGTCAACCTATATAAACGAAATTTTTTTTCTTGGATGTACACAAAAATCCTCGTATGCTACCGACAAACGTAGCAAAAATACGTGATAGAAAAAGTTATAAAAAATATAGACAAGCAACCTACACCTCCCAATTAATCTGGTGGGTGATTTACAGTTGAGTGAAAGTAAAACTCGAGAAATTATTTCTGTATCAAAGATAAGAGAGTCAAGTGAAAACGAGTGACCAACTGTGTCTCGAGGAAGTGTAAGCTCGTCTGAGGAAGNAGCCCCATTTATTTTCCTCACAGACGGCAACAAAAGTCCGAAATTATACGATTTAAAATAAAAGCAATAATTGTGGCTTGATATTGAGTTAGAACATGTTTTTATGAACCACACAGCTTCCGGTCTTCCACGACCCGACCGGAGAAAAAGACGTGCTGCAGGTACGAAACACATTACCAGTAGAAATACATTGCTTTTAAAATCGTATATGCAACACGAAAAAAAGGGGGCAATCGTGTTGGTGAACACGAATCAATAGATTAAAAATCGTGTTGGCGAACACGAATCAATAGATTAAAAATCGTGTTGGTGAACACGAAATGCCATGAGACTGGGTTGGTAGATCAGAGTAGAGCGTCTGTCCTCGAGTGGAACTCTAACTTTATCCTCCCCAGGTGGCATATATACACTGCACACCCAGCCCATATAACCACTGTGAAGTTTGTAAAAGAGGAGGCTGTAATTGATGACTTGAAACTGCAGCACCGAGACATGAGGACAATTAATCCTGCCTAACCCTTAAAGACGTCTGCTTGATACAATAGAGAATGCCAGGTCCATCTGCGGAGTCAAGATGTAAGAGTCATGCATACATGCAGACAGGGAAAGCTATGGCTCCTAATTCTGCTCATTAATCACCTGTCTGCCGAATATCCTCCAGAGAAAAACGCCCGGTTCCTCGGAGGTAATTACAGCACTTGAAGGAACACTCTCTGCTGCAAATGCTCATAAGTAGCCACCTTATTCCTCTCCTACCCTGCCTTCTCTGTCTCATCCATGTCCTCTGGAGAAACGTCCTCCTCCTCCTCTCAAGCCTTTTCTGCTGCACCGCTCTTGCTCCTCTTTAGCTATGTAGCCAGCAGACTTTTCTTTTCCTGGGCACACATCCATTTGGCATCCGATGTGAGATAAATAAATTATAGCCTCTAAAATCAACGGCCAGTACATGATGTAGGCAGTAGGCTTAGTGCTTGCCACCGGGCTAGAATTATGCCACTGGGACTTGAACGGGGGCATTTCTTGAGCCCTTTCCGTCGCAGAGACTAATTGAGGTTTTGAGGCATCCTTTGTCTTAAAAAGCAAAGCAAATCAGTTCAATCAGGAGAGACTTCATTTTGTTTAAAGAACATTTATTGACACATGTCATATGATAAATGTTAAGTCTTTGGCGATTAGACCCCGATCCTGAAATCTTATATCTAAAGGGGGAAATGCAGCCGTGAGCACATAGGGAACCCCCCGGGGTCTAGACACTGGTCATGATGCTGAAGATCTGGATTTGATGAGGAGATGGGATGAAGAGGAGGTGTGATGAGGTCTTTGGATTAGCTCTCCTGGCTCTGGATATGATGAAAGGAGGTGGATGGGGAGGAGGCGGGCAGAGGCATGACAACCTGAAATCACAGCTGACTGCAGGAGAGAGGAGAACCATTTTAAAGTTTGGCTGCAGCACAGTGATTGGCTGCTGGAGAATGAGGTGAATAGGTTATAGACAACGCCCGTGATGAGCTGATTATATGCAGCTGCGGAGTGAATGTATACTGAATATACCCATCTTCCTGAAAGAACTTGCGCTGAGCTTGATTTTGTCACACAGCATCCTGGTCTGAACCTGTTTGTTCCTCTTGAATCACTGCGGCGCCTGGAAACGATCTTACATGTCTCTACAGAACCACTCAAATAATCTAAAAATAAATCAAAAACAGAAGCAGAGCAGCATCTTTTATTTATTTTTAAAGGCTGAACAGTACCAATGCAATCACTCAGTCTGTAAAGTGTGTGTTGAAGTTGGCATGAAAGATTTATACTATTACTGTCAGCGCATGGGTGATGTCTTTTAAAAAAAGTTGTTGTAGTAATCTTAGATGGTTTTAGGGATTATAACACTAGACTTGCATATCATATATATTTCAATGTGTCCTCAACAGCAGAAACTAAACAGGAAGTGATCTCTGCTAATGCTCTCTTTCTTGTTCTTTTGTTTTCTGTGTTCCCAGGTGGAGATGACACAAGAGCCTGATCCTGATGACGAGGGGACAAAAATAAGTGTAAGTTACAGAATACGTCATGTATCCCTGGTTGCAACCTAGTGTTTATCGAATGTATGCCATAATGACGCAAGTTGGAAGCATATCATTTCAAGGAAACACAACGGCAGTTGATTTCACCCTGAATAATACACCTTCAACCGGAGAAAGGAGCTAATCATTGAAATCAGTGGCAGCGTATTATTACTGTTAGAGTGCTTCCCTTCCTGTGTTCATGCCCCAGCAACCGTTCTGCCCCTTTTTCTCCTGCCACTGTGTATCTGCATTCTGTGCCTCGTGCAACACACACCACACTTCCTCCCAATGAGCTATGATAACATTTTAAAGTAATGTAATGGACATAGGAACATATGTTAGTTGTTCAGTAGGAATTGGAAAATGTAGCTGGATTCCTGGTTTGCAATAATTAACTTGGTAAAGAATTTTTTTTGAAAATCCATATGCAAAGAGACAAAATGAACGTATCTGCGTTTGTTGAGGTTAAAAAATGAAATCATGACTTGAGGCACTAACAGCATGTGTTCACTATTAAACCGAAACTACAATCTTTCTCTTACCCTACATTTGCTCTTTTTTGTCTAACGGCACCCAGTCTCCAGCATCGAACTGCTGTGCTTTGTCCAATTGCTGTTTACCTTAATAGCCTTTTTACGACCTCTGTAAAAATTGTAGAATGTAGTAATATGTGAACTGGGAAAAAAGCAAAAAGGTATCTAAAGACATATTTTCTCTTAACTTCCAGTTAAATTGCTCTGATTAACATGCATGTTATAGACAGTTCTCTCTGCTGTTCTTTGTCCTGTACAGGCCCCTATGGAGGGTTGTGGATTGCAGACTTGATCACAGATAAAAATGTAGCAGCTAGAGTTCAAATGCTTATGAGTTTTTAACTGTAAAACATTTAATATAATACCTGAGGAAGTTATTTCACAAGCTTTAACTTTGCAATCATTGCCTGATTAGTTATACTGTACATATGTTTTAAATGGGAAACCAGGCTTTCAGGGTTGCACAAATGTACTCATTCACCGAATGTATAAACATCCCCTAAAAAAGAAAAGATACCATTTAATTAAATCATTTAAATTAACATTGCAAATCGTTATTAATTTCTTAACTGCAGCTCTGTGATCACTTTCTTTTTTGTCAAATAAGGCCAAAAAACCTAACCCATTTAGGTGATTTATCAATCAAGATTCAACTGAGAGTTATTCAGTTTAATCTTGAGAACATTTATTTTATTTTATTACATTGTGTTGCCCAATTCAAGACCCAAACAGATTTTGTTGGATAAAAGATGGATAGAGAACCTTTATTATGCTTATTGCACACAGTAGAGAACCACTATTTAAACCATAGCCGCATCACCTAGCAATATAATTGAACCTGCAATTATCGATGACACAAAAGATTGCCTATTGTGTTTGCATCCAGATGTCAAAGGTCCAATGCTCATGTAGCATATTGAAGAATTAAGTGGGATGATGTGTGAGGAAAATATTGTGGTGTTCCATAACTGTTCCTCTTTGAATCACTCTAACAGACAGTGAAAGTCCAGGGCAACGACATCTCACACAAGCTCCAAATCTCCAGAGTCAGCAAGAATGACGACGGACTGTATGAGTGCCGGGTGACACGAGCTAACTACGTGGAGGTTGTGGATTACAAAGCCAAAGCCTGGCTGAAGGTCAACGCTACGGCCAGGCCACGACGACCTCTGCTGCCTCCCAAGAAAAGCTCCCCGCTGCACCTGACAGACAAGAAGCCGAGAAAGTCCAGCTCATCTCCGGGCCAGGACAGCATGAGTTCAGACCAGAAAGTGGCCTCAACCTCCACCTCCCACACATCCTCCAACACAGCTCAACACAACCCCGCCTCAGGTAAATAGATATAGATGGTTATATAACAAGAGCACAGTAGAACAAAAATAAAAGTTATGTAGTCAGATGTTTTACCACCAGCATAAAGACTGCAACATGTCCGATGAGCTCCAGAAGCTTGTGAGTCACCTGCATGAAAATGGGTGTATGGTGGAGAAAACCTAACAACCAACAACAGACCTCAGCATGCATTTATACAGCAGTCAAGTGCAAAGGGGCCTTTTCAGAAAACAGACCATCTGGCCACACTGAACTGACATAGTGCAGGTGTTGCAGAACAAGAGCACCAGCAGGAAAATGTGATTTGAGAGCCAGAATTCACAGAAGTTGGCCAAGCACTTGATGAGTCTTTTGTAATAATTCATAATCCTATTAATAAGTAGCATCCATGAAAGGCACATTTTGGAGTTACTATTGGTCACAACTGGCACCATGTAGAAGGAATGTATTATCTCCTGCCAAGATGGTGGTATGGTTTTATGGTGGTTGTGTACTGGACTTGAATAATTGAATTCTGAAAGCCTAAGTGTGCTGTCATTTGACTGGTTGCACATTAAAAATGTCATTAAAAAATGTCAAGGGTTAATTTGTTTGAACTCTGAGTGAAGCTTCAAGGGCCTAAGGTGGACTGTCACATTTAGAAAATTGGTTTGGAGTACAGCCAGACATTATCGTTGTGATTTCATCCATTTGACCATGAATTCAATTTGAACTTGTCATTTTCTGAAAAGCTAGACAAGCAGCGACTAATATGTGTCCGCGTATTTTAATAGTGTTGGCAGTTCAAGATTGTAAATATCAATATCATTAACAACCTTTAGCATACCAAAAATAAAAGAAATGAACATTTCTTCACTGTAATGGGGCTAAAGTACAGCTACTTATGCATGCATGGGTAGAGGCTGCCACTCCATACAAACTTTCAACTAAATTACGTCAACAGCGAATAAACCTATGACTACAATTTTGAACAGAAACGACTATTTAGTAATTGCAAACACGTATACTTATGGTCAAGAAGGCACACGAACAAAAACGGGAGCTTTACTGTTTCACAGAAATGTGAGATTGAACTGCCAGCTGCTTTCTACGCACCAGCGGACCAGAATTCGAAGGGGGTGTGGCCTAGCTACAGATTTAATGTCCCTGCTCATGCTTCTTCAAGTTAGGTTCAAAATGTGTACACCTTTAACACTTGTGGTCTCAAGTCGCATCTCATAGCAGCAATGCGGAATATGAAACTGGCCTGTAGAGCTCAAAGGGAGAAAAAGTGCATTTGGCTTCATCAATGCATACCACAATGCGTCATCACAGCCTGGTGTTTTATGTTATCTTATTTGGAGTGTTGGAATTCTCTTTTTTGAGGGAACAGTTTCAAGTCAATTGCCTGTCTCTAGCATGCCCAAAATGTTGCTGCTTGGCCCACTCACTAATTCTAGGAGATAAAAATACAATGTATCCTTTCATGTGTCTGTGTGCAGGCTACTCATGTGCTGTGAAATTGATTTGAATACTCTACTGTTACTGTTAAGGCACTACTCGGTCAGGCTCCCAGCTATATTTTGAATTTTTTATACTTTATAAGCAGCTTCTGAGATCCTCAGGCAGGAATCCTCTGGTGCTTCTTGAAACTCAAATACTACCTAGGGTATTGTTGCTGCAGGCTCTTCAGCTCTAGGACTCCCTGCCTGAGCACGCTAGTAAAAATCAGTAGCAACTTTTTTGGGTTATTTTTCACATTTATTTGTTTCGTTTCTCAATGCGCGTTAATTATCTTTGTCATTTGTTTAAAACTTTGCGTGTGTAAATCTTGAACATGACCGTATTGGTGGCACGACACATTTGGACCTGAACCAAGAATACTGAAAAATAATGGGCAAAAAGAAACAAGCAACATTTTACAAGATTGTCTGTCTTTTCTGCTCACTATAACTAACATCATTAGAACAATGTGATGGATGCTATAACTGCTAAAAACACACTGACTGTAAGTTGTCTTTTTTTTCATTGAATTTGAACAAATTAAATTGTGGGATTTACTGTCCTGTCTGTTATTAGATTCAGCAGGTTGCAAGTAATATCAATGTATTCTTGTCTTTCATAGAGCCAATAAGGCTGAAATCCTTCCTAAGACATGTGTGGTGTAATACCTATTGAGTTGTCTCAGTGAGTGCAAACATCATCAGCCTTTGCAAGAAATGGAAAACGTGCACACCAAGCAGGTGGAGGATAATTTAATTTCATTATTGGTAAAGGTCATAGTTCCCAGTGGAGTTATTTGTCAAACATGAAGATACTTTATCTATTTAAAGAATGCCTTCTCTTTAAAAAGGAATCTTTCACAGCGAAGAATTTTAAAATGCAGTCACATTTCGAAGAAATTACTTAGAATTATTTGTGTGAGATTAAATTATTGCCATCATTTCTTTTTAATAATTTGCTCCCCGGGTGGATAGCGTTACTGCAACAACATAAATGTGTGAACATGTACTGCTGATTGGTCACGTTTTTTATAACTATTTATCATTTGGAAGACATTTTCCAATATTATTTAAGTTGGCCACCGGCATTAACAAAAAGATATATACAGAAGTTTCCATGTTGACCTCCAAGGAATTATGGACATTAAGTTCTAATGTGCTAATGTTCTAAGTTCTAATGTGCTAATGTTCTAAGTTCTAATGTGCTAATGTTCTAAGTTCTAATGTGAACTGATGTTATACATAACATCAGTTCACATTGACTAAAAACTGTTGTGCAAACTTTCCAAAGTCTTTCGAATAACAACTTTGACCGTGTTTACTGCTCAATCAATCAGATGACAGCTGAATGAAGAGCTGCAAGCTCAAAGAAGAGGTAGCCAAAGAAACAAAACTTAAATAGCTGTTTTCACCATTAGGCTCTGTTCCCAACCTTAAAGTTAGCAAATAACAAGTCGCGTATCATGCGTCAATGCAGCTTTAATGTTCTTAATTAAAGCATTTTCTGATCTGGTGCCAACAGGATTTTTCTAAAGCTTTATGGTTTAGGATAAATTATGACTTATTATTAACCATTTTAACTGTTAGTATACAAAGAGTAGCTGGGCTCATATTCTGTTACTTTGTAAACCTCTGCAGCCACTCTGACAACATACTTAAGATATTTTTTTTAGTATAACAATTTTGCACAAATTCTACCATTGGTACTGAAAGAGATTGTTCAAACATGAACAACTTATTTTGGTCATGATCATAAATAATCAATGCTTCTAGAAAGGATGGTATCATACCCCCCTCAGTAAGAACCATCGACTGTGGTAAGAACATTACACTAAGATATCTAATCACAAACAAAAACGTTTGGACCAAATCAACTAAACTAAATGCAACTGCATTTTCACACTAGCTAGAAATGACATAGTTGTAGCAATAAAACATAATTTACCCATAATGTGTATTCTCATATATGAAATGTAATGTGCAAGGAGTTGAAATAATGCCCTTTGCCGATTGCCATATTTACTTTCTTGTATCTTCATATTTAACTTGTAACTGTTTAGGGTCCTGATCAGGCAGCCTAGCATTAGGTGGCTCAGTGGAAATTGTCTCTCATTACCTTTTTGCTTTATTTGAATTTCTGACTATCAAACTTTGTTACAACAGTCCTGCTCCTCTTCATCTTTAAATGTCAATCATTTTCTACCTGGTCAGATGGTTAAAAAACTGAGTGGGCTCTGCTCTGGGTTCTGATACCCCTCTGCACCCTGAAGCAAAACATTGAAAGATATTACTTGCCGCTGAATGGAGGTAAAAAGTTGAATAATCCCTGCGGCTGTAGAGTCAGAGATTATGAGGCAGCCAAATTATGCTGACAACTGTGTTGCAATGAGTCCTGTGTGCGGTGTGTCTGACAATGATAAATGCCTCTCCGGAGGCTCACAGAGGTGTTACGGCTGAGGGCGACAGAGTTCTATTACTGGTTTGAAGAAGATGAGCAACAATAGGTAAATTGGCTGAGATTAAATTAAACCTGGGAGAGTGCAGATATTTTCCTTTTCCGCATTGCTGCATGAGTAAACAATGAGGCACTTTCCAGATGGAGGGAATGTGACTGTGGCTGGTGAAGCAGTTGCAGCAATAGCAGCAGCAGTAGCAGAGTGGTCTGTTCACAGCTACTCCCCACCAGTGTGTCAGATGTTGTTAGATCACAGCTCGGCCTCCATCGTTTCTGGCAGTGTTTTTCTCTCAAAGCTCAGAGGTGACCAGAGCTGAATGTGTTTTTAAAAAAAAGAAGGAAAAAATGTCCCCTAAGCCAGACTTGTCCTCACCCCTGAGGCCAGCCTGGTTACTGAATGAAGAAAAAACAAATATGGACTCAGCTTATTGCATAAGCATTCATGCAGCAACAAAAAAAGCACTGACCTTGTTTTTTTTAAAACCACCATATTTTTAAAACTGCGTCAACTGCATATGTCTAAGGAGAGATTACGAGTGAGCAGTAGGTGGTTAAGAACCACCGGACTGCTGTTCGTGACTTAATTTCAATTGCTCAAGCAATTGCACACAATGTCATTGTGTCATTTCAAGTTTGTGTAAATGCTTTTCCTCCCTCACTAAAAACGTTTTTCTTTGCCTGTAAATCTGGTTAATGTACGTGAACGCTCAGTGGGGAAAAGTGTGAGACCCAATTAACCATATTTGTGGCTTAACGTCTGCACCAGTGGCTCTTTGTCTCCTCATACTGAAGACTTTTAGGGATACATCCACAACAAAGCATTTGTTTATTTTGAAGGCTTTGCCGACCACATTTAAGCATCTGTTAATGGACTTCAAACAGAAGCTTTTCCTTACGCAGAACTTTAGTACAGTTAACAAAGAACCTGTAAAGGTACAAGTAATAATTACTGCTCTCCAGTATGACAGGAACTTCCAGCCTCCTGGCAGAGCTACAACCAGTGAGACGCATGTCTATATTTCAACTATATTTCTTTATCCATTGTGCAGTGAAACTTTGATTTG